AAACCATTTCAGGTGACTACCTCTTGAAGCTCATGGAGAGAATGCCAAGAGTGTGCAAAGCAGTAATCAGAGCAAAGGGTGGCTATTTTGAAGAAACTAGAATATAAAACATGTTTTCAGTTATTTCACCTTTTTTTGTTAAGTACATAACTCCACATGTGTTCATTCATAGTTTTGATGCCTTCAGTGAGAATCTACAATGTAAATAGTCATGAAAATAAAGAAAACGCATTGAATGAGAAGGTGTGTCCAAACTTTTGGCCTGTACTGTATAGCATACGCAATGTGTGGCAGGTGGATGAATTATGAGTTACATCTGTTCTTGTTGTGTAGACTGTAGCACTGAAGGAACACAATGATGTCCCCGTGTATACTGAGTATTGTATATGGAGAGAATTTGAAGTTTGAAAACACTGTATTTTACAATGTTTAAGCTTACACGACCAAGAGTTCTGCCACTGCTTCCATGCAGTTACATTTGATGCATCCAACTATTACAGTTTCTCAGTCTCAGTCAATCCTCAGCGATACTTGGGTCATCTAAAGCAGTTGTGTAAAATGTCAGAGGGCCATGAAATAATTAATGGAATGGGGGTAGAAGGCCAAAAAGAGACAGTCATTCTTCTGTTAATCTGTTCACCACTCTGCATCACGAGGCAACATATTTGAGACCACTGCACTATAGTAACCCAGCAGCTACTCTGTAAAAGGCTGTTTTTCAGGGCCTGGAAAATACTTCAAGTCTTTAATGTCTCTGAAACTATTTCCTAACATGACCTTTAAGTCAGGTGCCTGTTCCAAAACCCTCATGAGGTCTGAAAGACAGGATGTTTTCAGACTTTATTACAGAGAGAACCAATAACAGCGTGTTTAGTCAAGGTGGTCAGATGGAGACTTTGCTGTTGTGCTACCATGGATGTTGTGGTTAATGAAGGAATGTGCTACGCCGCGATCCCCGAGAGGAAAGGATCTTACTTTATGAGATCTTAATCCTTTGTGATTGCACCAGAGGATACAAAGGGCTTGATGTGGCTTTGGGGAGGCAGACTGCACTTCCTCTTGTTTGTTATGCAAGACTTATCTGAATTCCATCACTGTATTGAGTTTTATTAAACAGCAGACTCAAGTCAAAACAACCTTTTCTCAAGTACAGCACGTGTAACTGAGATTTTTTTAAAGCTTGGTCTTAACTTCAAAGTAACAATTAAATAGGGTCATTTTCCATTCCATAAATTTTGTGTTTCATCAACTCACCCTTGAAAGAAGTCTTTCCAAGGTTTTTCAAGGTTCAGGCTAATGAATTATTCCACCATGGAGCCACTGCGGTGAATGATGGAAACAGCTGACCTAATACATATTCCTGCTGGGACTCTCTCTCAGTTTTCACTGTTTATGACCAAACTTGAGTCCGACCGAAGACACAGAGGCCTCGATGAATATTAACTGCATTTTAACAGCTCCAGAGGGAGTTAACGTGGAATCTGAATTCACCTTTAAACTTCTGAGTTCTACTTTGACCTTTGCCTTTACTTGTGTGTTTTTATTAGGTTAGAGCAGAGCAGCATGGGTTGGGTGTCAGTGGGAGAATATTACGGAGAGGTTTGTGCATTACAGATACTGGCGATGCTCCACTCTCTGTTGGGTGTTTGTATCTGAGCATAAAAACACACTTATGAATGGTGGCATTATTACTGAGCAAAATAAGGAAAGGTATGAGTGAGGACGGAGGAAACGCTTCAGTGAGTAAGAGAACAGGAGCGTGGTGGGAAACAGAGGGGCATGTCTTTGACATTATGACGCTATGTCTCAAATCTCATATTTCCCACATAAAACAGAAATGCCTTACAAATTGTGCGATGATATAAATCTCATCTGTGAGAGTTACTAAACAAGCCACTGTTATAACATTTTAAACCTGCAAATAAATCTTAATCGAGTGATTCAAAACATAACCAAATGGTCCAAGATTTTCCATCCAAAACATTTATTATGTAAAAACTATATTTATATAATGAGAGGTTTTGTTTTCAGTTAGTTTCTGGATGTCAGAACAAGGTAGCATCAAACGCAGAGCTGGACATATGTGTCATGACAGGGACAGGGGCAGGACGACCGCGACATTGAATTGCTTAAACACTTTGAGGGCAAGTAAATAGTCCCAATATATTTAAATGTCCCACGCTGAGAGAGTTGTAGTTGTTTCACCCAAACAGTCCTGGGTTGTGCAGAGTCAGAGTCTGCAACATGCGCTCAAAGTCCTGCACCGTCCATGGCTCTCTGTGTGTCTCTGCTGAAGCAGCACTGCTGCTGTCAGGGCTGATGCTCTGCGGGTCATTGAAGGTTATCAAGACATCTGTGGAGAACTGTGGCAGACGGAACAGACCCAGGTGAAGGGTCACTGTGTTCCTCGCTTCTTCGTTGAACTTGGACACACACTGTGTCCCGGTCAGCATCCAGGCTGAGCTGCAGTCTGACAGGGACAGCTCAGATTTGGGTAGCGGCACAGCACCGGGCACTTCAAAAGCACCTGGCTCTAGAGCTTCGTTACTGCCTGCGATGTCCTCAAAGTGATAACGGGCGGCGTCCTGGTCTGCCACCTGACCCTGGTACTCCACCAGCTCCACGATCAGGCTCTGGTCGGTGTGTTCATGGGCAAACACCTCCTGGTTGTCCGGGATCTCCCTCAGCTCACTGATGTCTTTGGCGTTGTGAGGGAGGACGGCTGACAGCGCTCCTCCAAACAGAGGATGAGGCTGATGAGCGCTGCCTCCAGCACACTGCATCTCTCTGGAGAAACACACACCAACACAGAGCCCGTTTTAAACCACCTGCAGTTACATTCACACCGTCCGCTTATAAACAACATAGACTCAGGAAAACGTTATAAAATATATGAATATAAGTAAAATAAATATAAATAATATGTGTAGAGACCGCGTGAAAAACACGTAGCTTACCTACTGCAACTGCCAGAACTCTCTTCCGGTCAAAGTTTGTCTTCTTCTACGGGTTAAATTTCAGGCACCCTACACGCAGGTCATGCGCACTGCTGCCACCTACAGGTGAGCCAAACACTCACCCTGAAAAGGCAGCGGCGAAATTATTATAAAAAATATTTGCTTAAGTATCAAAAGTAAAAATACTTATACAGAGGAATGGCTCCTGTGAGTGGCATATTAATATTTATAATAATAGTTGAGTCCTCTATACTTGGTTGAGGTGAAGCAAATTATAATAAACTTTGGTTAGTAAGTTAGGAAGTAAAAAATAAAAATGAGAATGATTAAAAATAAGAGGTATTTACAATTTGTATAAAAGTAGAATAATAGAATAATAAAAATATTAAAAATAGAAATAAAATATACAAATACAAATAAAATTAAATTAAATTAAATATGAAAAATAAAAAATATCAAAATAAAACAATTAAACAGCAATTTAAGACAACGTCACCAGATAAAGTGACATGGTATTATTCATAGGTGCGAGTTTATATGATGTGCTAAGACTGTATAGCATATTAACATAGTATAGTATGATACAGTTCAGTGTAATAAGAGGTATAAGATATGGCACAAGGTGCAATGTAATAATACTAATAGTAGTAGTTGTTGTAATAATGTAATGACACAGACGTTTAATTTATAATTATTAATTTTATTTTATAAACTTTTAATATTTGAAATCATAATTAGTAGTTACTATAGCTGCCAAATACATTTATTGGTGCAAACTCTAGGCTACAATATTTACTTCTGACGTTTATTAGATTAGAAATAAGAGGTATATATAATTAATATAAAAGTAGAAGTAAAAAATATTAACAATGAAAGAGCAATTAAAGACAACGATACCAGGTAAAGTGACATGGTATTATTCATAGATTTTAATTTTGTGGAAAAAGTGTACATCAGAAAAATAAAAAGTGTGATTTAGTAATGACACTTAGTGTTGTCTGTATTATTATATTAAAACAGAAATATAATATGATGTGGTAAGACAGTATTAACATAGTGTAGTATAATACAGTACAGTGTAATAAGAGGCACAAAACACAGCGTAAGGTGCAATGTAATAGTACTATTAGTGATTGTTGTAATAAAAATATCATTAGCCTATTATTATCTTATTATTATTATTATTATTATTATTATCACATTGTTGAGTCGTTTAATTTATAATAATCGTGAATTTTATTTTAACAGTTACTATAACTGCCAAATATATTTATTGGTGCAAAAAGTAGGCTATAATATTTCCTTCTGACGTTTTTAGATTAGAGGTAAAAATTAGCTCAGTCTAAATACTAAAATAAATTAAATGAACAGAGGAAGGCTCACTTAAATTTACATGTATGTATTTATTAAAAGAAGTATCAAAGAGTTGAATATCTCTACGATGGATTTGTATATCTGCTGCATATATGATAAAAATGAAGTGAAACATGTCCCCACGCTGTGTGCACATCTGCAGGTCCCTCTCCTCCTCCAGCTGTTTGTGTTCACTTCCTGGTCAGCTGACTCAGGCGGAGACAAGACGAGCGGACCGCTAGCATCCATAATGATAATCCTGTTTCATCGCCCGGACAGCATTTGAAATGAAAGCGACAACACCGTAAAGCCACATCAGACCCTGAAAACCCGGGATTAACACCCGAGCCTCTGTGTGTTTGTGTGCCAACAGCAGACAGCGGATCTTGTGGGAAACAGCAGGTAGTTAGCCACGTTAGCATCTCTAGCTTAGCTTAGCTTAGCTGTGGTAGCTAGCTCTGTCACTGAACCAAGCGGCCTGTCTGAACTAGCTATATTAACTAGTAGCTAGCTGTGTTGGTTAAATTAATGCTAACAACCAGATCAACCAGCTAAAGTTGTCAACGGCTGTGACATAACCGGCTAACTTACCATTCCTGATACCAGCTGTGCTCCTGAGATGTCAGTTTCATTTTCAGTTCTGGCACCTTTAAGGAGTCCTTGTTCGGACCATAGAGCCATTACAGTATTACAGTGGGAGTAAATTAGCTAAATATAGCTGTACTTAGTGAACACAGCATCTTCTTTTTTTAACCTCTTAAGAAGAAAACAAGTTGCAATCCATATATTGATTGTGCTCATCAATAATCTACAGTTCTCTCTTGTGGTCATCATGATGCAGTTTCCTCAGTTCTTTTGTCCAAACCTGGCATCACTTTATCTATATATAATTTTTATGTTATAAATCACAACTTTGAAATGAATCCAATTCTGCTTTGTTTGGATTGCACCTTTAAAAGTCCTCTCTCCTGCAGCCCTAACATGTTAGACTTGGCTTCTCCTCTTTCTCTCTCTGTGTCTCTACACGCTGTCGCCGCTTCAGAGCGAGCCCTGTCCCCTGCTTCTCTTCACCTCTGTTTACTGGAAAGTTCCTCTCCTCTCCTGGCTACTGAAAGGCCTTTTTTCCAATCGCAGTGCCAGAAAAGGACGCTGCTGTGAAAGCCACAGTGTCAGACTGAACTGGATTCAATGGTATTAGTTGTATTGTTGGATTGAGAGAGGCTGTGTGTGTGTGTGTGTGTGTGTGTGTGAGAGAGAGAGAGAGAGAGAGAGAGAGAGAGAGAGACTGCTGTGTTTTCCTCCCCTGGTAGTTAAAGAAGGGCCTGAGGATCACATGTTGTTTAGTTCAGTGTCACAGAGGCACTTTATTGAGGCACTGTTTTGTTTTGTTGCACTGTTACATATGGTGTTTGGAACAAGTAACACCCAAACACAGACTCGAGGGGGTATAATTGGAAGAACAGCATGTTTTCCACATCTGACATGGTTGGTTTTTTACCCAAAGGCACTCAGAGCAATGATGATATTTCCTTTCATGGCTGGTGAGACTGAGTGCCTGCTCCTAGCAGAAATATTAGGAATAAAGACTGCTAAATAGGTGTTTACTGACGAGGCATAGTAGAGGAGAGGAACAGTATTTCACAGACAGCTGGTGTAATGGAACTACCACTTTTTTTAAAACATGTTCCAGAGCTGTGTATTAGATTGCACAGGAAATGAATGAAATCACCACTGTGACTAATAATGAAGTCAGGCTGTTTACCAGCATGTGTTGAGACTAGAGGCATCCTCAGATTGCTCGACCATGACCAGACTTATTAATGCAATCATTACTGAGCGAGTTTAGATTTATGGTCTGACTCTGTTCATACACTTAATGCTTTGTACTGCATGTTCTGCTCACAACCATAACCTGGCTGGAGCTATGCCTGCAAGTTTAATCTCTCTGCCTACGAATATTAGAGTGTTCTCATTTAGCAGGCAGCCATGTGTGACATTCATGATCAGCAGGAACATTGTGGCTTGGTGCGGGTGTGACAAAGACGGTCCATGTCATGATTTTTCTCTCTTCCTGTCCTACAGAGGGAGCCAGATCGGGAGGAGCAGTCTGAAGACAACATGCCCCCCAAGTTTAAACGACACCTCAATGACGACGAGGTCACAGGATCCATTCGCAGCGAGAGGGTGAGACACGGGTGGAGGGGGTGGTGGTGTTTGGGTTTTGGCTCATCATCAAGAAGCAGGGGATGGAGGAGACACACAGAATACAGGATGGGAAAAGACAGTACCTGATGATTTAGAAACTGACAGTGTGCTGTAATCAGGCTGAGGTTTTGATACACTGTAGAAGATGCCTGTGAAATCAGTGTTGATGGAAAAACTGAAGGAAAAGTGAGGGAATGCACAAAAGAGCGCATCTTTGACAGAGGTAAAGTGAAGAAGCTGCTGTAGCCAAGTGTCTGGTTCTCATCAAAGTGAGCATCCCCTCCCACCCACCTCCACCTTCCTTGTCCTCTCCCTTGATTCTCGATTCCAGTCAGTCCTCTGTTTCTCTGTGTAACCCTGTTTGCTATTGTGTTGATCTGGAACAAAAGCAAAGCTTACGGGGAGACTTGCATAACAAATCGCTCCTTTCCACCTTCCATGCTTTCCCCTAAGTGCCCAACCCCCTGCCCTCTGATAATAACTACCAGTTCTCCCTCATGTTTCCCATCCGAGACAGTGGAAAGAAAGAGAGAATGACGTTGTACAGAAGGAGAGTGTTAGTCCCTAGACTTATAAAGGTCTTTATCGTCATATGGCCTTCATTCTCTGTGCTTTTATTTGCAGATGATAGTGTATTTACAAGACTATGTCTACACTGGCATGGCATTGGCTTGCAGCTGTCAACATTACAGGATATTCATGGAGTTTCCTTCTCTCAGATCTTTGCAGTGGACAGTGTGTGATGATTGTTAAAAGCTGATGACCAGGACTGAAAAGTTTGAAATTGAACCTAAATTATGACTGAACCACCTATGCATGCTGTAAATGAAATGCAATTGCTCCTAAATTTATGGAACAACACACTGCGTGGATGTCACGCCTCCCATTTTCAAAAAATCTCTAGTAAAGACCTTTCTACAGAAGGATAATGCATTAACTTGAGAAAAAAGTGCTCTTTTTCTAAAATTAACGAGATTATTGTTTTAGAATTATATGAAATGTTTTCATAGAAAAAAATCTGCTCAGAAAAATGAAAATTTACAAGATTATGATCTAGAAACAACAGCATTTTTTCCCCATGAAAACCTCTCTCACAATTTTGAGATAATCTTATATTAATTCTGAAAAACAAGGCACATTTTTCTCAATTAAATGCATTATCTTTCAATACCGTTCTCTCCCCGTAGCAGGAAGTATAGTCCTCTTGCCTGCCATCCAATATGAAACAGAGTCTTACTGTCTTCCTGGTCCAGTTTTCCCTCCTGTGAGAATTTAATGCAGCTGTCCTCACTAATTCTCTATGAATAGCACTTTACACAAGGCGCTTTCCGCCCCTATTAAAGCCATCGATGGTTCAGAAGTGATGATCATGGTGGCGTTTTTGGGATCCCAGTAAGAACAGAGAGTGGCTCTATTCTTTCGTTGGAATCTGTTCACGTCCGTTTTGGCCTCTCTGCAAACGGAACATCGCTGTCAGAGTTTGATGTTGAGGAGCCATAGAGAGCACAAAAGGAAGAGTTTTTATTGAGGTTTGGCAGGCAGGGCAGCAGAGTAACACGAGGCTTTTATTTTTCAGTAAGTCATCATAGTGTAAGTACACTATGACAGCAGAGTATTTAGGCATATCTGCATATCTGCTGACAGAAAAAGCATCTATTGATCCGTACAGTAGCTATATGGTCCCTGGAGGTCCGTTATTATTTCGGCAGCACTGGTTGTGAGTGCCAGGAGTGAACTCTGTTTGGGCCTTTCAGCTGACAAGATGCTTGTACTGGAACCTTTTCCTGAGCCAAGTCTGAAATCATTTAACTCATAGTCATTCAGTATCAAGAGCTTACCCTTATCTGACCTCTGAACTTTTCCTTCTTTACAGAGGAACCTACTGGAGGAGGACTCAGATGAGGAGGAAGACTTCTTTCTGTGAGTTTGTTTATAGTCTATTCAGGCACTGAGCTTATTGTAAATAAATCAAAAATAATCAATGTACAATTTACCTACATAATGAGAGCAATATTGCTAACATGGTTTGTGAAAACAGACTACACACAATCAGCAGCAAAATAAGTTGTTATGGTTCCTAAATTAAATTAGTGACTGGGCTTCAATAATACCTATTTTCCAGGAGAGGACCCACGGGACCCAGATTTGGACCTCAGAATGACAAATTCAAGCAGTAAGTACGAACACATTCCTCGTCCCAACTAAAAGCCAGAGGGTCAGAGTAGTTTTGCCAGCACTCTTAGTTTTGGTGTTGGTGTTATGCAACTGCGGCTCGTCATGTTTACCAGGAGCTGCAGGTTTATAGCAGATTGTGTAAGAGAGGCTGCCATGTGCAGGTTATTGTGTAACCTTCCCAAGAAGTCCTGGTCCCTCTGCAGTCTGTTTCCACATGTACCTGCAGTCAGAGGCGGTCAGAGAACAGAAGTTCATTGTTGAGACAGTCTGGCACCCAGAGTCTCCAACCTCTGTTCATACTGGACAATTTGTCACTATTGTGAGCACCCGAAACAAGATGCCAGGAATGTTGGGTGCACTTTGCCCGGACTCTTCACCTCTGTGTCTGAACCCTGAGGTCAGGACCTCATAGTGTGTTTATGTGTGTTTGTAGCAGCCCATGCTTCTCTATGTCACCCAGTCCCTGATGGTGTGTTTTGCTCTGGCTGTAGTTTTGCATGTTTACCGTCTTCAACATGCAATCAAGCTGAAGTCCAAGACTGATCTTTTCCTGCAGCTCCTTGACAATCAGTGTAATGACGCTGGAAAATGTGATCAGTTGTGAAAGAAAACAAATTCCTTTGTCGTGTATCTTCTGTCTGAGCCTCTCCGCCTTTTGTATTCCTTTGCCAATGTGATCTCTCCCACTGACCGTGCATCCCTCCAAGAGGTATTGCTTAGCATTACTTTGAAATAAGAGTGACTGAATGGTAATCTGGAGTAGTCATGCCATGCTCAGGTGTGAGCACCGTGAATAAAGAAAAGATTTAAATATAATTCTGCAGATACTGAACAGGTGCAGGCAGGTCACTGTGAGGCTGAAAACCATCTGACAAGCTTTTTATTGCCTGCCAGCTGGACAGGTCTAGATATAGAGGAGAGGATATTGTTGGGGAAACAGATGCTTTGTGCTGTTGTGGGTTCCCACAAAAAAGATAAATCTTTGACGAATCCTACCTTTTATCATACATGATTCATGCATTATTTATGATTCTCTCACCAACCTGTGTCCTCAGGGTGCAGTCGCAGGTTGATGAGGTGATCGATGTGATGCAGGAGAACATCTCCAAGGTGATAGAGAGGGGCGAGCGGCTCGACGACCTGCAGGACAAGTCGGGTGAGTCACATTAGGACAGCGTGTGTGTCCGTATGTTCAAAATATGTACACCTACATATGTTACATACTCTACAGGGAATGTTTTATCAGTCTCGTTTGTTTGAATGGTTAGTTTCCACAAGTAGCTCACAGATGGTTTGCACACGGCTCTGAGGATTGTTGTCCTCACTGTATGGAGGCTTATCTGGGCAGTTTCTTATGTTAATGGAAACATTCCTGCAATATGCATCGATTTGAAAAGGAGAACATTTGTTGTTGAGGCCCAGCGATCCTAAATGTGTCTTTAGATCAAACTATAAAGGTTGAGGTATGACTTCATTGTTGTTCAAAATCACTGGTGTAAACCTGCATATGGGACAAACTTCATTTCAAGTTCAAGAAAGAAAAGACAAATGATCAGCTACAGGCTGTGTCGTCCTCTCTGGCGGAGTGGATGCAGTTTGCATTGAACTAGGGCAACAAATAATGATTGTCAGTGAACTGTCAGTAAATATTGAAAAATGCTGTTAGAATATTCTAAAGTGATATCTTCAATTGTCTTGTCTGACCCACAGTCCACAACTCAAATATATTCAGTATACAAACACGCAGAAAACCATGAAATCCTGATATCTGAGATGCTTGAACCACCACGTTTGTCAATTTTTCATTAAAAAAAATGACTGAAACGATTATTTGATTATAAAAACAGATGACAATAACTTTTTTGTCAAAAGACTAATAAACTAATTGACTACTTTTTGCACAGGGTTCATCAGAGATCATGAGATACCTGGAAAAGTCATGAAATTAGAAAAACTGTTTTCCAGGCCTGGAAATGGTTTGCAATTAAAGTCCGAGCAAAGCAAAAATAAATACGTGTAATGAGTTTGTCACCCCACAGAAAAATGCACACAGCCACAGTTGAATGATTAAAAAAGTCGCCAAGTTTGTGAAATTGCTTTTCAAGATCATGAAATAAATAGGCTTCGCTGCTCTGAGACGCTGGGGGCACGTCTGCTGAATGTGCTGAAGCTGCGTCACGGGAACACTGCAGCCTCTTTTACATGTAGCACTACAATGGATGCTCCATCCGTTAGCTGTATTGGACTTGTACAGTCGTACATGTTTGAGCCACCAGAGTCAAAATCAAGTTCAGAATCAGAGGACACTGGCCTGCCTGAAAATACCGAGTTCTACAACCTAGTTCTACTCAGTTTGAAACAGAATAGTACATTTTATCTATTTTTATGTTAACAGCAAAACTCAGTGTTGCTCCATTGTGCAGGATTTTAGCCCTTAGCTTGAGTGGGAGGCTGCTGCCAGTACAGTCGTACAATACAGCAGCATCAGACTGTTGTCTCCAACTAAATCTCAGCTTGTAGATCAAACAATTGGCTAACAGGTTGATTATTTAGAGACAATACTCACTAAGTATTGTCTCTAAATAATCAACCTGTTAGCCAATTGTCAATTCTAGATATCCTGATTGTAAGGCTAAGTTAGCCTTACAATCAGGATTTGGATATCTAGAATGTCTGACCACTGTAGTAGATCTTTAATCCACTTGGAGAGGCGATGGCTGAAGGGGCATGACAGCACTCAAACCCTAATTTATTCAGATATCGCTAGGTTCTGGCAAAACTATTATCAGACATACCTATAAAACAGTTTGTTTAACGAGATATAAAAGCATACAGATGTGTCAAAATTGTAACCTTAACATGCAAAGTACCTGTATGTGCCGGTCTGGCATTGGGCGTAAATATGCAGGTAGTTGGAGGCAGAAATGTCTAAGAAATGAGTAAAGTTAGTAAGTGCTATCAGTTGCTTATCCTAAGAGGCCTGGGAAGTATGTTTTGAATGATGTAAGGCTGTGAATATTGTTATGGAAAATGTTTTAAAATGTATTTTGTGTGGGAAGCCTGTTTGCAGCTGTACATTAAACCTTTCAGAAATCTGTGATACATGTCACATAATTTAAGTCCAAAAATCAACAAAACACCAACGTTGTCAGCAGTAGCGGGTGCCTGCATGTAAATCCGCTCAGCACACTTTAAAGGTGTTAATGATATGTCCAGGTTTAGTGTTTTACCAGGTGTGTGTCTGGAGGCTTTTGACAGGTCTCACACTCTCATACACACAGCCCTGCTCTTTGTTTTTACTCGGTGCATATTGAGCAGGTGTGTGAAATGTGTTTAGCTCGCTCTGTTACTCAACTTCACACACACATGCAAGGCTTTCAACAGGACACGCACAGGTCGTCTTCTCCTCCAGAGATAGAGATAAGGCTTAAGTGCTTGTGTCTCTTCCCAGTCCATTAGGTTTAATCATGACACACACAGATGTTATATAACTGCTACTCCGTCATGTCCACCGGCCAACCAAGGCAATGACGCACATCTGGAACACATTTGTGTGTTTGCACGAGTCTTTGTGTATATACAAGTCTTGCTGTATAATGTGTGTGGCTGATTGCATGTCTCTGCAGTGTGTGTTGTCCTTGCACAATATAACATCCCATGATTGACGTGCAGTTTGCTCTCTGATCTTTGTGTAGGTAACCTGTTGTTAAATTCCGTCAGATTAACGAGCATCTTTACAGAGGCCGCGTCTGAGCGCTTCTCTTTGTAGTAGCGGCGGGTCGTTAACAGGCACATGGGCGTGGAAGCAGCACACACATGACAAACACAAAGACTCTAAAGAGGGACAGGGGCTTGGACAGGCACAGCGCTGCACGCTAGGGAGCTGTAACCTTCCTGTTAACATGCATAAACATCAAGTTAACAACAGTATCCAAGAAACAGAGAGCAGCGTGGGTGAGCGTTTTGGAGAGGGATGTCACGACAAGGACAGGAGGGAGGAAGTTTGAGGAAATGTGTTTTTGCTCCGCTGTGTATAAATTCAGCAAGTTGTTGTTCACCATTTAATACCAGTAGTTAACTTTTAAACAACCTGTTCATTGCAGTGATCTCACCAGCAAGGCTTATGTAACTCTCACACATTGTAACTGCACATGCACGACGCAGAGCCAGGCAGTTTTGAGTCACCTTAAACAACAAAGTCAAAACAATAGCCTGGTTATTGTTTACATGGTAATTAACAGACTGTTTTTTCCCTCTCCTCCAATTTGTTTTGCCCTCACGTGTCCTTGTCTGTGCTGCGCTCACGTCATATCCCAGAGAGCCTATCAGACAACGCATCTGCCTTCAGTAGCAGAGCCAAACAGCTGCACAGGAGGATGTGGTGGAGAGACATGAAGGTGGGCTGTCTGTCTGTTTTATGTGTGTGTTTAAGCCTGTGACACCTTCACACTGTCTCTTTATTCACTTTCATTGACATTTTAGCCAGACGTCTTTAGTATTACAAAGAGTGTGTTTAAGTAGTTGGTTACTGTTATAAAAAAAATAACTTGCTGAAACTGTCACTACATCCACACATTGGTACACAAGACACAATCTGTGACAAAAATCATGTCCCTCCTCCTTCTAGTGCAATGGTCCTCAACCTTTTTTGCACCAAGAACCCCTAAATTGATGCACATGAGGTCATGGGCCCCCATTTGATAAGATTTCACTTCAGGGACCTGAATCTGGATTTTGGGTTTTAGATATGATTAAGACCAGAATTCTATAGTCATTGCCTACAGTGAGGAGATAACCATGAAGACAGTGAAACCTATCAGCAGTAGTCACTCTTATGTCTCCGACTCACATTGAGCTCACTTCTATAGTGAATTAAATAGTAAAAATATTTCTAGGAACCCCCTGAAACTCCCTCAAGGACCCCCTGGGGGCCCCAGACCCTTGGTTGGGAACTACTGTCCGAGTGCCCCTAATGGCATTTGATAGAATTCACAGTTGCTGAACAAAAACAATCAATCAGAACCGATGTGTCTCCAACGCAGCTGTCAATATGTCAATCAATGCTCGAGAACTGCGATCACACTTTCAGACTAGGCAGCGTTTTAAAAATATGATGATATATGATATGATCAAGATTCTGTTACTGCATTGCCTGTTTCTCACCGCAGATGTTTTCAGAAACATAATTTAGTGTGCTGTTCAGCTGCAGTAACTAACTAACTAAATAAAGAAAGTGTTTGTGACCTGGCCCTCGTAGCCCCGTTTCCACCAAAGACTTTCGGTATGGTACCTTTGGAACCAACAGTAACCATTCAGACATGGTACCTCTTAAATGTGGGCGGGGTTGTTGTCACTCACTGCTCCGTCCAGCACTCGCTGTATTTCCTCATCAGCAGTGACACAGATGGAAGTCTGCACCTCGTATATCGTCCACAGAACGAGGCTGCACGCCCACATTTTCACAACAAAATAGAACAGGCTGCAGTGAGAGTATCTATCCATGGGATATTTAAAAATAGCAGCTTTGTGCATTTAGTCCTTCTCAGGCAAGCACAGGGGTTTAGTGTTGCTGTAGCCCACAGGAACGACGCTCCGCAACACTTTTGTTTTCTCAGAGTGAGGATTGGGATGTATGCCATCTCGGTCCAAATTACACTTGAAGATCCACTCATTACTAAAAGTTTCTGTCATATAAAAACTAAAGTGATGGTCAAAGTTGTCACAGTGAAATTTAAGGTGTGCTGATGGATTCACGTCATCAACTCATGCATTGAGTAACATTACAAGTTAACGTTCCACCTTAAAAGTTGCCGGCAGTCGGCCCAGTGAATGAAGTTATCTTTTCTCAGACTCCAGCTGCTGTGAGAGGCAGCAAAACATCCTTTCATTTTATAGTTACAGTTTACTAATAAAACTCTCCACAGTATGAACAGTGGTTACATGAGCCTCAAAACCAGACACAACTCAGCCCTGAGCAGAGTGACCATCCTCTACTGACCAATCAGACTGCAGTGTTCACAGCTCCACCTTTTAGTACCAGATCTGTGTGCTAGGTACCCCAACAGAGGGGGGACCAAACATGGGGACGCTAAGGAACGGCTCCATTAACTTTTCACAGTGGAAGCGTACCGAATTGAACTGAACCGTACTGCCTGGTGGAAACATTGCTTTAGAAGCAGTAGGAGTCGTCAGAGGAACGTGATTTTTTTTTCCCCACAAATTTCTGTCTCATGTACTACTGTCAGGATGTAATGAGAGTTTCAGCAAATATGATGAAAAAAGTTTTACCCACTGTGTCTTTAATGTGTGCTGTTTCTTCCACAGATGAAGATGATTATTGCCTTGGTAGTTGTTGCTCTCCTGCTCATTATCATCAGTAAGTATTAGACCACACACACACTAGCGCAGTTGACGTTTACATACATGTGCAGAACTTGTCATTAAATATTCCTTCTCTCTTTCAGTTCCAGTGATCCTGCGATATCGCTAGTGTCTGACAAAGAGGATGGGGGACAAACCTCTTCTCCCTCCTTCTCTGTCTATCTCTCTGTCTCTCTCTCTCTTCTTTGCACACAGTCCTCCACTCCAGCTAGGGGGCGCCAGCCAGCCTCCCACATCATCCCCAGCGTCGGCCTGTGTACCCTCAAGGATCTGGCCTCTACTTGCCCTTAGTACAGATCTTATCATTGGTATTTCCACATATATCTGCTGTGAGATCAGCGCTAAGGCTCGGTTTGATCCCTGCTTTGAAAATAAGCCGCAGAATGGGGGGACACAGGAGACTTGTGGGGATATTTTAATGCAGTTTGGGAGAAAACACTGACTCTCAGCCCTCTAGTCAACGTGAAGGAGTGCTCCATGCCATGATACATATCACGTGTAGGGACCTGTCTTTGCCTTGACCACAGGGAGACTCCAGGTCCTGCATATTAATCATATAGATAGATAATGTAAAGGCAGGGAATCCATGCCCAACCGTCTCTCTTAGTTTAGCTGGTCTGAATCTGCTGCAGCAGCCTCATATAAAGCGGGCTTAAACATTTTGTGAATGAACCTCAGATGTCTACCCATGATTCCTTGTGTGCCATCTTCTCACCGCCCGAGGATGAGAGCGTTTATAAGGAACATTTTGTGAACACAAGCACATTTCACCGCTCAACACGAGGCGAGGGAACATCTGAGGTTCATCTGTGTAGTCAAACGGTGGCTTCTTTTAATCATCAAAAAAGTCTCTGACAGGAAAGTGATTTCACGTATCAGGTATGTTTCCTCCTCAGTACAGATGATGGGAAAAGGGCCAAGAAAAGGAAGGTCATCTGTTTAGAAAACATCCTGCTTTGTAACATTAATCCACTCCGTAAATCACCGCTCTCCATTTCCGTTTGCCTCTTGATAGCTTGTTATACTGTACAGCAGGACCACGTCGAAGCAAAACATCCAGGTTATGAATGTCTCCTCACCAACTTTCTGGGTTGCGCCGAGCTCTGGGCCAGTTTGGTCACGGCTGTCCTACTTTCCCGCTAGTGACATAAATCTGTCTCTCACTCTGCAGATGGTTCTGTTTGGTTTCTAATACTGCTTCTGTCTTTATCTCCCCACTAATTTAAGTTCTTATTTCTGCTGATCGCTAAATGTGATGCTTGTATGAATGCTGGTATTCCTGTCGCCACAGAAGGGACAGTTTGTGTCTCTGTACTGTTACATTATAAGCAGGGGTAATTTTAAGTGATGCAAGTTAAAAGTTGAGCTGTGAAACAAAACTTAGGTGTCATTGTGTCCCAATTTATTAACTGTATAATACATTGAAACTCTACATCGTCATTTTATTATTTTTTAAAGTAATTTATTTTAGCTGTAAATATTGATTCTGTAATGATGTACAATACTCTGGCATTGCATTGGAAGACTGTGATATACTGATCCTTTTTGCTCTGAAATAAAGTGATTTTAAAGGGCTCCTGTCTGGTTTCATCTGGTTTGAACTGGTCATCCTGGGAGGAGGAAATCAGAAAAGAAGAGTGAGGAAGGAGAGGGCAGTCAGAGGGGAACACAGAAAAGTTTGAATAGATTGATGGAAAGAAAGAAGATGACTGGAGGTGAAAAGGGAAAAACTAATCGTCATGCCATCCCTCCTCGTCCTGAGCTTTCTTTTATCTCCTCTCATTACCCAACTTTTTTATTGGTCTGTGACTTTACTGGCAGTGTGGAGTCCCAAGATGGCACTAAAGTTTGAAGAAACTGGAGGCCATGAAGTGATATTGTTCTGACAGACCCGCCGTGTTCACCCTCTCTAGACCGTAGACACAAACGCAAACCGACAGCTCTTCCCTTTGCTCAGCCAGCAACTCTTTTGAGGGAGCAGAAATTAAATTGGCCCACAGGGGTCTTCTCCTTCATTGATCTATGGCAGATGGTCTTCCAGCTCACACTAGTTGCTGGTGTGCATAGCAGGGGGTGACGGTCTTATTTCAGCTTTGAAGATGTAGAGGAGAGAGGGTGTTTCAAGTCATAAACTTGCCGAAATTATATAGCTGCAGTCTGCATACAATGCTGCTAAACTGCAGTGAAATCAAAGGTAGTAAAGTCCTGGTTGGACAAGTGGCTGTAAAATGTCACAACTCTTTTCAAGACTCACAGATACAGGTCATTTGCTTTAAGTGCAAAGTGGATGCCTGGAGGTTTGATTTAGCTTCTGGTCGGTACTTTGTCTACAGGGGCGCCCTCAGAAATTCTTAACAGGGGCGGGCAGATGGGACCACTGATGGGGTGGCACTCCAAAAACAAAGGCTATAATTGAGTTTCAGGAATTCAATTTTGCTGTTGTATTTAGGCCAGCTGAATATGATGTCAGTAAGAAGATACCTGCACACCAATGCAACTGGGCTGGAAGCCACAAAGAAGGTTCACAGGCTGAGATCAATGCAAAAAAAAAAAATCTACTTATTTAGGACATCTGTGCACAAAAAAAAGGGATAAAAATGACAAAATGTTTTAAAAAGTGAATAAAAACAGCAGCAAACATTTCAGTCTTTGACTTTCATCAGTGCTACTGACATGAGTGCCTCACAGAGCAAATACAGACACAGACAGATTACCACCAGGTGTGGTCAATCAGCCAGCTGCTGCCACTAATTAGATGAGATGGACTCTGGGGAGCAGAGGCCTGACTACTAAATCACAATGACCTGTCCTATGAGTATTGTGCCATTCACAGCACCCTCAAACACCAATGTATGATAGCAGAACATATATGAATGTCCAAAAAACACAACTATACACAGAATAATTTAGAACAAAAGAAAGAAGAAAGTTCAAAATATGACAAAGCATATCCAAAAGGAGAGAGATGCATCATTTCCACACAGCTCTACAGTATGTATGTGCATTAACAGGAAGTCCTTTCCTTTTAATTAGAACCTCCATGACGTGTTTGTGAAACTACTCCTTCTGTTTTTTTACGATCCAGAATTTCCATGGGGTATTTTGAACAAAATGAACTTTTGCAGCAGATTTCGTACGGACCGTGCGCACTGTGCCACAGGAAGTTAGCATAAAAACAAATTAGCTTATAGCTTGATGAATGTAATACAGCTATATTTAAACTTTTTTTTTTGAGAAGTCTGATGGCATGTTTAGCCAGCCAACATAGCATGCTAGCTGTGTAACCTACAGAGCAGTGGTTCCCAACTGGTGGAACACGCAGGGCAGTAGTCACCATATACATTGAGGAGGACACGTCCCCCCCAAATGTTCAGATATGCCCAAAATGTCCCCCCAATATATAACTGAAACTAAAAAACAAACAAACAAAAAATAATAATAAAAAAAAACGTTTTTTTTTTCACTGCTATTCTATGGCAGCCTTGTAGCCCAGGTTCTGCTGTTTAATTTGATGTGCAATATCACTATATTCTTCGTGATGAGTGCATTGTTTCACACTGTGTTTGTAAAGTTGTTCTCAAAGGGTTTCCAACAATTTGGGCGACCCAATAATAGAAGACGAGTGCTCATTCTTTGTCAAAATTTCTTTGTCAAAATACGTTAAATTCACGTGTTTAACAGGGAATTATTCAAAATTTTCCCAGGGGAGAAACCCCCCAACCCCCGGGTCAAAATTATTCCCACTTCAGAGCTAAAGCCCCGGATGTTTTCAACTCCTAGGGACGCCCCTGGTCTCCCCCAGTGTTGCCTCCATGGCTACAGCCTTGGGAACACGGTCCAAAGTGGGTTGCGGGTCCATTCCGAATGGACCTCAGGTGACTCGCAAACATGTCAAGGTTGGCAAAAACACACTTTATTTTTAAGTGCAGTGAATTTCCAGCACAAAGCTTTTACTTTGAAATGCTGTGTCCTGCTGTAAAGTGAGTGACTCACCAACAGCTACTTGACAGAGACAGCAAACTAGCTCGACAACATGAGCAAGCGCAAGTATGACACCAGATGTATTTAACTGTGTGGACCACTGCTATAGAGTGCGTGCACCATTGATCAACTACTGTTACTGCTCCATGTGCATATTCCACAAGTTTAGACAGCGAAAAAACACTCACAATTAACTCTACTGCCATTTCTGTGATGGCGTTTTTATCCCTCTATGAAGCATTTCTTTGTGTTGAACACTGGTATAATACTGAAATAAGGACACAAAACAAAACTGTGGAAACGATGCGTTAAGGAATCGCATACTGATAGATTTTTGTGTCTTATTTTAGAGGCAATATTACCAATTATCTGATGTGCATAGACTTATACCAGCACAGTTAACATTCCCAACAAACCCGTTAATGTGTTATGTATCTATACATGTTAGGCAACTTATCACTCTTCACATAGACTGGTTTATTTTTCCTTTAAAGGACAAATATACAGCTTTAATCATGGGTACCCATAGAATCCATTTTCATTCAGATATAATGAGGTGAGAGTTCAAGGGGCTCCTTTGAAAATGGCCGTGACAGTTACATCGCCAAAATGTAGCCTAACTAATTTAGCCCCTGTGCTGACAAGCTATGTATTACGTTGTCTAGTTTTACAAGATACCACTTCATGGTAGCTTAAAAAATGTGCTCACCACAGCGTCTGCAGTGACACAATTTCAGCCTCAAATTATTTCTGCATGGCGGGGCCTGTAGGAGGAGCAGTCATTATATCAGGGTGGCCAAGGCCCCCCCAGCCCACCCTCAGAGGCGCCACTGTTTGTTAAGCTGAATGCAAGGGAAAAGAATATTTCAGTGTTACACTAGACTGCATATTTGTGCATGAGAGGAAATTTGTATGCTCTCTACGTGTGGAGAACCGCCCACACTGGCAGCAAAGCATGTTTTGGTCCTCTGTTAGGGGCTCATACAGGATGACTTCAGATTCCCGACATAGTGGCAGTTATTTGAGTCATATAACAGTGAATTTGACTCACAAGAGAGAAGAGTGGACAATGTGCCAAGCAGCATTAGTCAGTCACACACACACCCTGTCCAGTGCAGAGATCAGGGAGAGGTGGATGTGTTGGTAGCTAGAGGACGAACAGAATACATTTCCATGTGATACACACGGGATATAGTGAATAAAACATTGTTCATTGTCCTCCTACTTTCCAAGGAGATTCTTTCTTCACTCGTTTTCTCCTCTTTTGTCTCCATTTCTGTTTACATGTGGTTTTACTCTTGTCTTTTCCTCCTTTGATGATTTATTCACTCCTTGGTTTCACGTGTCTCACATTCCACCCTCTCGTCAGTTTCTCATTGTCGAGATATTTCCTGTAAGAGGATGGATGTGTTTTCAAATTCAAACACATAACTGTACTTTATTCATCCACTCATCCATCTGTCTAACCAATCGAGACAACAGTTGGAGGTACTACCAGCTGTCTGTAAACAAGCTCTGACAGAAGCAGATGGGGCTGGCATCAACCTGCAAGAGGAAGAGTGCATTTCTTAAAGGGTATGCACCCTTCCACGCTGCACCCCTTGCCCTCTAGCCTCCCTGGGGTGAAGCATCTGGGTCAGGTGATGTTTTAAGGTTTGGGGTGGCCTGGCAGGTCAGCAGAGATGGATGCACGAGAAGCATGGATTGATTACTGAACAGGCCTGCTGGGCATAGGCATAGGGGTCCAAAGTGTCAGGGGGCCCCCTGGTCTTTACTTGCAAAATGCCACTCAAATTAACACGTACCAACCAGGAGGAGACTCAAAATGACCACAAAGAGATGCAAAAGAACTGCAAAGAGACACAAAATAACTAAAAAATGGGCAAAACAACCACAAAGAAACACTAAATGACTACAAAGCAACAGAAAGCAACCACAAAAGACATACAATTACATAAAAGAGACACAAATTTACCTAAAAGACACATACAACTACAAAAAGACACAAAACAACCACAAGGAGACACAAATGACTACAAAAAGACACAAAATAACAAAAAAAATGGGCAAAATAACCACAAAGAGACACAAAATGACTACAAAGCAACAGAAAACAACCACAAAAGACATAAAATTACATAAAGGGACACAAAATTACCTAAAAGACACACAGATGACTACAAAAAGACACAAAACAACCTCAAGGAGGAGACACAAAATCACCTCAAAGACATACAAATGACAACAAAGACACAAAACAACCACAAAGAAACACTAAATGACTAAAAAGCAACAGAAAGCAACCACAAAAGACACAAAATTACATAAAAGAGACACAAACTTACCTAAAAGACACAAACAACTACAAAAAGACACAAAACAACCACAAAGAGACACAAAATGACTACAAAGAGACAGCAACCACAAAAGACGTAAAATTTAAAGACACACGGATGACTACAAAAAGACACAAAACAGCCGCAAAGAGACACAAAACAACCTCAAGGAGACACAAATTCACCTCAGAGACATACAAACGACAACAAAAAGACACAACAGCCACAAGGAGACACAAAATGACTACAAAAAGACAC